TTAGTACATGGTTTATAGATTAGAATGATTGATTGCATCACTTCACATGTACTTCATCTGAAGAATATTGCTGTGTGTCTTGCAACTGCAACATTTTTAATTTATGATGTATGATAAACCGATTTGTCTACTGTTCGGAGTTTCAAACAACAATATTAGTAAAAAATATTTGTTTTATTCATTCATGTTGCGTCTTCAAAAAACTCCCAGTAAACAAGCAATATATTAGGATAAAATTAATATTTTTAAATTAATTTAAATAAAAAATTATTAAAAAAATCAGATTGACATACAGAACTTCCATTGAAAGATTTGTACATTTTACATTTTGAAAAAAAATATTAACAAATATTAAGGTGAAAAATGATGAAAAATCATTTTTGAAAAATTTTAAATGTTTATATTTAGTTTAACTATCTTTTCAACTTTTCAAATGTCTATACATGCTTATTGCATGAAAACAGAAAGTCTACAGTCTCAACTGAATTGTTAAAATTTGATAAATGTGCTTTGAAAAATTAATAATACTTATCACATATTTTGTCAGGGCCATGATTATCTATCCTTAGTTAGTTCTTCTGATTTTTTTTTAATTTGTCGCTGGTCATTTTAATGATAATAAGTAGGAATCATATATTTTTTCACAGCGAGATCTCTCGTTTCGAAGAAATTTGGGCCATTCCAAGACTACATGGTCTATACCGTGACTATGTTTATTTAGAGCCCATTTTCAAATCTTGACCCTTGAACTTTGACCATGCATATTTCAATAACCAGCTTGTTTTTTTTTTTATTTGACCCAGGATATAAGCAATGTGGTGCAATAAGTTTAGCACAGACCAAAGACAGACTCATTTACCTGAGAAGGGCTGCCGTAAATGCTCGGTACGTGGAATGTAATTTTTTTTATTATGTAAGGATTGAAACAGCTAATGAGAGTGCAGAAAATATAAAAAGGTTTTTTGATATTTTTTGAACAAAAAATTCTATAAATGTCTTAGTTTCTAAAGAAACACTACCATAATTTCCCTGTGGCATTAAACCTTATATACTCCGGCGGTCATTTTGAAATGATTAGTCAAACTATATGAAACTACTTCAGTGTTTCTTTCAGACTTTCAAATAGGAAAAGTAAGACATATGAAAGTATGGTGGTGAAAAGGTTAATATAGTATGTAATTTTCTATTGTGATTCTGTGAAAATGTTATATTTTACATGTTACAGAGCCTATGGTATTGAAACTCATGAGATCAGCCCGGATGAGATTAAAGAACGACATCCATTGATAAAAACTGAAAATTTAGCAGGTGGTCTTTGGATTCCTGGTGATGCTACTGCTAATCCTTCTGATGTCACTCAATCTCTTATTAGAGGTGCAATAAATAGAGGTGGGTGGTGCATAGGTCAAATCAAGAGTTAATATGAAAGTACTATATAATCAACAATTGAAGATGATTTGTTATGTATCTTCTTTGGAGGTAAGGTCAAATCTAGGTAAAATTAAGAGTTCATGAATTTGGTATGGGTCAAATCAATGGTACATGAAGTAGAACTGGGTAAAAGCAAGAGTTCAGAAGGTTGACATGGGTTCAAAGGTTCATGGCCAAGGTTCAAATAAAGGTTTTATGACCAAGGTTCAAATCAAGGGTTCATGACCAAGGGTTCATGAAATGGACAAGTTTCAAATCCAGGGTTACTAACATAGAAACTGATCGGATCAAGTCTGTGAGTGTCAAAGTAAGGATTCATGAAATGGACGAAGTCAATTCAAGATTTCATGATGTGGATGAGTATCAAAGAATGGGTTCATAAAAGGTTGAATCAGGGGTCCAATTTAAAATTGTTATGAAGTGAAAATGATTCAAATCATGGGTGAGATTAACATGTGGATATGATAATAAAAGTATAAACTGGTACAATGACATGAGTCAATGACTAGGCTGATGCAATGTCATAATGAGTCGATGTCTGTAGACTGATGTGATGAGTTAATGACTAGATTGACATGACTATAATGAGTCAATGACTGTAGAATGACACAATGCCATAATGAGCCAATGACTGTAGACTGGTGTGGTTCCATAATGAGTCAATGACTAGGCTGATGCAATGTCATAATAAGTCGATGGCTATAGACTGATGTGATTAGTTAATGATTAGATTGACATGATTCCATAATGAGTCAATGACTTTAGGCTAATACAATGCCATGACAATCAAGTCATTGACTAGTCAGGTGCGATGCCATAATGAGTCAATGACTATTGACTTGTGATGGCATGAGTAATGAATATAGATTGATGGGATGCCATAATGAAGCAATGGCTTTAGACTAATGCAATGTTACAAGGAGTCAGTGACTGCAGACTGGTAAGATGTCATAATGAGTCAATGACTGTGGACTGATGTAATGCCATGATAAGTCAGTGACTATAGACTAATGTGATTGCATGAGTCAGTGACTACAGACTGATAGGATGCCATAATGAATCAATGACTAGATTGGTAAGATGCCATAATGAGTCAATGACTAAACAGATGCAATTTAGACTGAAGCAGTGTTTTAATGAACCAATGGTTACAGGCTGGTGCAATGTCAAATGAATCAATGACTGTAGACTGATAAGATGCCATGAGTCAATGACTAAACTGATGCAATTTAGACTGAAGCAGTGTTGTGATGAATCAATGGTTATAGACTGGTGTAATGAAGTGAGCTTTAAATACGACTATTACTGCAGTTGAGGTTGTGCTGCTGCTGCAAGGAAAAAGAATAAAAGCAAGTGTTTTTAAATGTATGTTTGTAACAAAGTATAATGTTGTCAATTACTGGTAAGCTTTAGAATGTTCCTGGATACTTTTTGCTTTGCTTTCTACAGGTGTGAAATTACATGAAAAAGTAGAAGTAACTTCAATAGAAACAATAAATGGTCATGTTTATTCCGTGGTAACAAATCAAGGCAAAATACAATGTGAATATTTCATTAACTGTGGTGGTATGGTGAGTATTTTTAAGATTTTTAGAATTATCATTAATTAATTGAGTGTTTAAACCTTAAAGCCGACTTTAGTTACCAATCACAAATTTAAACTTCATTATTAATCCCCTTTCGGATGCCGTCTGGTTGCCATTTTGTTTTAATGAATGTGGTCCTCCTAGTGCCATATCTCTGACTGACATGCTTTGACTGATTATGCTCAAATTTTAGATATTCATTATACATCATGTCATAGATATACAGATTAATTGGTTTGACGATCCGATTCAAAATGGCTGAATGGTGGCCATTTTAGTGTGAAAAAATCATTAAAAATCAACCATTTCTGGCTTTCCGGAACTGGATCTTGGTCGTTTATGGATGGCTTTTGTTCAAACTTTGTACATACATTAGAAATTATGGGATTTTGTTTTTCAGATCAGGTTCAAAATGGCTGTCTGGCAGCCACTTGATTTTAATTAATATTGTTCCAGAGCAATACCTCTCAATATGGTCTAGGACTCATTTGGCAATTAGATACAAGATTACTGAATGTCAATCATTTTAATGTTAATAAATCATCATAATCAAGCATCAGACAAAACTATGTCTTAAATTTGATAACTAATGGGGACTTTGCCATGCATGGCTTGTTTTTTTTGATCTTTCAGTTTTTTGTAACCAATAGGAAATTATGTTCATTTGATCCAAAATTAATAAAGAAATTACCGAAAAATAAGTAAAAATGTAAAAAAAGTTGCATTGAAAAATGTGTCGATTTCAAAATTGCACTATTGAAGTACACTATTGTTTGTTTGTTGTTTCAAATTATTAATTAACTCCAATAATTAAAGTTGCTGGGATAAGAGGGCATGATGAATACTGACAAAAATCACCACTGTTATAAAGATTTAAGCTCTACTGCATTTTCCAAAGATGGTAGAGAATATCGTAAACTCTTTCTATGTGTTGGTCAATACAATCACTGCACTGCCTTCATTTATGCATTGCGCTATCCTCGTAATAACTTTTGAGGTACATTGCATCCTATTTGTAGTGGGCTCGAGATATTGGTCTGAGAAGTGACCCTGTAGTAAAAGTTCCTCTGCATGCATGCGAACATTATTATCTTGTTACAAAACCAATCAGATCAGATATCAATGTTGCTGATTTGCCAAGTGAGTACTTTATGTACCGATACTGTCAAATACTTTATTTTCGCTTGGAATTAAGTTTTGCTATTTTCGCTGAAGGAGTGATTTAGTGAAAATAAAATCCAGCGAATATATCTTTTTTCTTATATTTTACATTCAGCTAACCAAAAATCAGTGAAAATAAATTTCATGCAAAATACCTCAAAAGTCTTTTCAGCAAAAATTAATTCCAGTGAAAATAAATTTTTTCACAGTATATAACCATATGCAACTACACTGTATTTGCTCTATTAGTAACGCTTGCCAGAAATACATACCTAGCCATATCAGTTTTTGTATTTGTATATGCTACTATTATTCTACTATTTCAGTGTGATTATATTCTACAACACGTCTCATTGGCATTCAGGATACTGAATAAAACAGGTTTATTTTATTTTTAATTGTACAAGGTGGTTTTATTTTATGCTAAACAAATATGGTTACCAAACTACTTTTCATACAAAAAAAATGGGTAAAACATCTAAGAAAGTTAACAATTTTGGAGTCATTTACCTTTACTATGGTGAACAAGTCTGTCTATATCTAAAATCATATCAAAAATTTGTGTTCGGTGGAAAAACACTAATTTTATAAATCCTTGCTAATACTTCTCGTCCAGGTCTGTGATACTACACTCTTGTAAAAAACAATAAATACATGTTTTTTACAGCAATACGTGATTTGGACAGTTCTATCTATATACGTGAATGGTCTGGTGGTCTTTTAGCTGGCGGATTTGAACCACTGGCTAAACCAGCATTTTACAAAGGAATTCCAAAGCCCTATGAATTTCAAATGCTACCCGAGGACTGGGATCACTTTCGTAAGTTCTCTATTATTATTTTTTTTATGCCAAAAAATGTATTTTGTTGGTCAAAAGTGATTTTAAAAAAATTAGCTTCTAAACCATGCTTCTGTTTCCTGTCAAAATTGGTTTACGGGTACATCTGTTTACTATGAAGAAAGTGTCGTCTTGAAAACTGTCTACCAGTTGTCAATTTTGCTGGGCAGCAGCTCAAATTTCACTAATTCAAGTTTATGCATAAATTAACACCCAGGTTAGTTGTGTGTACGATTGTTGTAACACTGTTCAACCAAAAACAATGCCCCGATGGCGTTTTGAAGATAAACACATTGTCAATCATTTGTGAAAATTTCAAAAGGTCAGAGCGTCTAGAAGCTTTTTTTTTAAGTTCTGGGATGTGCACTAAAAAGAAGATAATTGCTATTTTGCATATTTTATAGTTAAGTAAAAATATATGCTAATTTACATCACCATTGGATTTAACAGAGTTCCACTAATGATTTTAATTTCAAATTTTCACAGAATGCAGATGTTCGTGCAATGCCATAACAAATAAAAAAAAGTGAAATTTGTCATTAAAATTTGCAAAATAAACTGCATCTCTACCTTAAATCAATCATTAATAGCTTATGTATTTGATGAAACAAATTTTGTTTTTCGCCTTGTCATGTGAATAAAGAAAAGGCATATGCGAGGCAAATGTCGTCATTGTTGTCTCTGTCGTTCTTGTGGTTACAACAAAGGCAAAGTTGTAATTGTTACTCTATGTTTTCTTTATGGTCTTCAAAAAGTAAACAGAAAAGGTTGGAAATCAGTGAGTTAATTATTATCATGGTGACACCAGTAAGGAACCAGATAACACGTATGAACCAGGTGTATGACATTTGTATTTGTTACATTGATGAAAGTTTATCTTGTAATGCAGAGGTGCTGTTGGATGGGATGTTAGGTTGTGTACCAATGCTAGAGAAAGCTGAGGTCAGGCAATTATTCAACGGTGCTGAAAGCTTCACTCCTGATCTGAAATATATTATGGGTGAAGCACCCAATGTAAGTAGAATTCAACAAATGTATCCCTCTTCGCTCCCCACACGGGCTATGTGTATATGGTGTGCACATTCACATTTGATTTATTCTTCTTGTTTTTATTTCAAATTTACCCAATTGTTTGTCATTTTCACCTAATACTGTAAAATACTTTATGTTCGCTTCGAAATAATTTTCGCTATTTTCGCTGAAGGAATGATTCAGTGAAAATAAAATCAAGTGAACATACTTTTTTTCTTATATTTTACATTCAATTTTACAGTCAAAAATCAGTGAAAATAAATTCCATACAAAATACCCAAAATGTTTTTCAAGCAAAATTAATTAAGCTAAAACAAATTATTTTACAGTAAACTCAAACTTGTCAACCACTTATACACGTTGTGCAAGTTTATTCAAAATGGACAACTGGTGGCCAATTTGTTATGTGCTCTACCTATTTCTCTTTCACAGATTTTATTTTAATTTGATATAAAGATGAGGCATGTTGGGTTAAATATTGTCTTCTATTATTTTCTGACTAGCAGCTATTCTTATGATCAACAACAAAATAATAACTGTTGAACATGTTGTCGACTGTTTCTCAGGCATGCCTGGACGGGGGTGTCGTCACCTGCGCATGCGTCAGATGGCCATAGTCATAGTCATTGTTTACAAACAAGCGTCTACCAATGAGTCTTCGCGTTTTTAGCGTGTGTTGTTATCGTAGCTTGCGACTCAATTCCTGCGTGTGTGCAGGTGACGACCCTCTCGCTTTAAAATAAAGCAAACTGTTGCTCCCAAAGTGCTAATTTAAATTGCTACAATCTATCTCCTGATCTGTTTTTGGCGATTGAAATTGTTTTGTAAAAAACAATTGACCAAGTAAAATATTAACAGGTGAATTTCAACAACATTACTAATAAAATTATTCCACATGTTGCTGTGAAAAAATATTCAGCGTTTTAAAATAATGTGAAGTTGACAATGTACACACTCCTGTTGAGTTTTGAAGACCGCCAGCCCCTTTAAGCTAACATTTAGCTGATTTGAAGAAATTCATAAAAATTAATTGTGCTCCTGGATAAGGATAATAACATAAAGAATAGATGAAGATCACCACCCAATTTTTTAAGAAAATGAAGGTTGTGTTTTGGTGAATGGCGGCAATTTACCCTTGGTTCCTATGGCTAAGATATTGTGTCATATCTTGAAGTATAGGCAGGTGAAATAAAATGAAAAAGATGTATATTGACTGATGCGTTACTTTTTGTCGTCCTGAGTTATTTCAAAATTTTAGGTTTAAAAAGCGATAAAAATGCAATTTTATAGAAATTTTATAGAATTACAGGAATGTAACACCCAAAAGAATTCTATTTTTATCTTACCATGAAACTATAACTTCGCAATTGTACATAATTTTCCAATAAATACGTCATGCGACAATTTGGTGCGTGAAGTTCAAAAGTTCATGCACATGACCTACTGGTAATGTAGTTTGTGATCTTATTATTTATTTGTGATAACATTTTTAAGTTCCTGCAATTCAATCTGATAAGATTTGCCTTGGTCAAAAGTTGAGATAAAAACATCTTGATATATAAATATTGTGTTTGAAGTGTTGTATGTCATTTATTGGAGTATTTGATCATAGACCCTCCAGTAGATGATTTGATAGAGTAAAAGATATATACAAAAATCCACCTTAGGTAAATTTAAAAAAACAGCTCAAAGTTTAAAAAGAACAAATATAAAAAAATAAATATTTTTGTCTGAATGAAAGAATTAACATAATCACCTCTGTTCATCCATGCATGCATGCTGCCATCTATTTGCACCTGTATCTTAGACATGCCTGGGCTGATTTCATTCAAATTTCAAACACACATCTCACATTATATCATACATATAAGCACATGCTTTTGTTTTATGATCCAATCAAGATGGCCGAATGACAGCCATTTTTGTGCAAAAAATTCTTTAAAATCAAGCATTTCTGCCATTCCAGAAGTGGATCTCAGTCATGCATGGATATATTTCATTCAAACTTGGTATGTCTATTAAACATAATGGGTACTTGATGAACATCATTTTTTTTCCAGATTTGATTTAAAATGGCTGACTAATGGCCATTATGTTTTCAACGGCTATTTTAATTTGCTATAAATAGGAAGATTACTATATTGACCAGTATGTATTTTTCTTTTACTGTCTTATGTTTACTTTCAGGTCAAAAACTATTATGTTTTGGCCGGTATGAACTCATCTGGTATCGCTGGCAGCGGTGGAGCTGGTAAGCTGTTGGCTGATTGGATTGTTAATGGTGAACAACCAATGAACATGTGGCCTGTAGACATCAGAAGGTTTTGTCAACACCAAAATAACAAAGCATATCTAAGAGACAGAGTGAAAGAAGTGCTGGGTAAGACCATGTTACCGTACTCGACCGCGTTAGCGCCCAGTGGCCTCAACTCAAAAATCACGATTTTTTAGGGGTGGGCGCTTACCCGAGCACCCCCCTCG